AAATAATCACGAAAAATGTGACAAAAATGGGACAAACAACTAACTAGGCGGAGTACGAAAGGTTGGTAAGCTAGACGGATGAGAGCTAGGCGAGAACTAGCTAGGCGGTGACTAGCTAGGCGGAGTACCAAAGGTTGGTAAGGTCGGCGGATGAGAGCTAGCCGAGGACTATCTAGGCGGGGACTAGCTAGACGGAGTGTCAATGGGAGCTAGGCGAGGACTAGCTAGGCGGAGTATCAAAGGTTGGTAAACTAGATGGATCGGAGCTAGGCAAAGACTAGCTAGGTGGAGACTAGCTAGGCGGAGTATCAATGGTAGCTAGGCAAGGACTAGCTAGGCGGGGACTTGTTAGACGGATTACGAAAGGTTGGTAAACTAGACCGATGGGATCTAGACGAGGACTAGCTAGGCGGAGTACCAAAGGTTGGTAAGGTAGACGGATGAGAGCTAGTCGAGGACTAGCTAGATAGGGACTAGCTAGACGGAGTACCAATGAGAGCTAGGCGAGGACTAGCTCGGCGGAGTACCAAAGGTTGGTAAACTAAGCGAGGACTAGCTAGGCGGAGTACCAATGGGAGTTAGGCGAGGACTAGTAAGGCGGGCATTGGCTAGGCGGAGTAACAAAGGTTGGTAAGCTGGGAGGATGGGAGCTAGGCGGGGATTTTCTAGGCGAGGACTAGCTAGGCGGTGACTAGCTAGGCAGAGTAAAAAAGGTTGGTAAGCTTGCAAGAAGGTGCTATGCGAGGACTAGCTAGGCGGACTACCAAAGGTTGGTAAGCTAGGCGGATGAGAGCTAGGCGAAGACTAGTTAGACGGAGACTAGCTATGCTGAGTACCAATGGAAGCTAGGCGAGGACTAGTAAGGCGGGGACTAGCTAGGCAGAGTACCAAATGTTGGTAAGCTAGGTGGATGGGAGATAGGTGAGGACTAGTTAGGCAGTATCTTGCTAGGCAGAGTACCAAATGCTGGTTAGCTAGGCGGATGGGAGCTAGGCGAGGACTACCTAGACGGGGACTAGCTAGGTGGAGTACCAATGGGAGCTAGGCGAGAACTAATTAGGCGGGGACTAGCTAGGCGGAGTAATAAAGTTTGGGAAGCTAGGCGGATGGGAGCTAGGCGTGGACTATCTAGGGGGGACTAGCTAGGCGGAGTACCAAAGGTTGGTAAGCTAGGAGGATGGGAGCTAGGCGAGGACTAGCTAGACGGAGTACCAAGTAGCTAGGTGAGGACTAGTAAGGCGGGGATTAGCTAGGCTGAGTACTAATGGTTGGTAAACTAGGCGAATGGAAGCTAGGCGAGGACTAGATAGGAGTGACTAGCTAGGCGGGATACCAAAGGTTGGCAAGCTAGACAGATGGAAGCTAGGCGAGGACTAGCTAGACGGACTACCAAAGGTTGGTAAGCTAGGCGGATGAGAGCTAGTCGAGGACTGGCTAGACTTGGACTGGCTAAACGGAGAGCTAGGCGAGGACTAGTAAGGCGGGGATTGGCTAGGCGGAGTACCAAAGGTTGGTAAGGTAGGCGGATGGGAGCTAGGTGAGGATTAGCTAGGCGAGGACTAGCTAGGCGGTGACTAGCTAGGCGGAGTACAAAAGGTTGGTAAGCTTGGCAGAAGGAGCTAGACGAGGACTTGCTAGGCGAACTACCAAAGGTTGGTAAGCTAGGCGGATGAGAGCTAGACGAAGACTAGTTAGGCGGAGACTAATTACGCTGAGTACCAATGGAAGCTAGACGAGGACTAGTAAGGCGGGGACTAGCTAGTCGGAGTACCAAAGGTTGGTAAGCTAGGCGGATGGCAGCTAGGTGAGGACTAGCTAGGCCGTGACTAGCTAGGCAGAGTACCAAATGCTGGTTAGCTAGGCGGATGGGAGCTAGGCGAGGACTAGCTAGTCGGGGACTAACTAGGCGGAGTACCAAAGTTTGGAAAACTAGGCGGATGGGAGCTAGGCCTGGACTAGCTAGGCGGGGACTAGCTAGGCGGAGTACCAAAAGTTGGTAAGCTAGGCGGATAAGAGGTAGACGGATGGGAGCTAGGCGAGGACTAGCTAGGCGGAGTACCAATGGGAGCTGGGCGAGGACTAGTAAGTCGGGGATTAACTAGGCTGAGTACCAAAGGTTGGTAAGCTAGGCAGATGGAAGCTAGGCGAGGACTAGCTTGGCGAGGACTAGATAGGGGTGACTAGCTAGGCGGGGTACCAAAGGTTGGTAAGCTAGGCTGATGGAAGCTAGGCGAAGACTAGCTAGGCGGACTACCAAAGGTTGGTAAGTTAGGCGGATGAGCGAAGACTAGCTAGCCGGGACTAACTAGGCGGAATACCAATGGGAGCTAGGCGAAGACTTGTTAGGCAGGGACTAGCTAGGTGGAGTACCAAAGGTTGGTGAGCTAGGCAGATGGGAGCTAGGCGAGAACTAGCTAGGTGGTGACTAGTTGGGCAGAGTACCAAAGGTGTCGCAGCACGCCGGTGCAACGCGCACCTCGTAATCCTACAGGTCGGCCTTTCAGCAACGGCGAGCGTAGGCGCGACACCTTATGCAGATCGGTCTGGCATTGAACGCGAAGAGTTATGCTGCGGCACTTCGTAGGCGAGTTCACGTGGCGGCGAAAAGTCCGAATGAGATCACCATGATTATGATAGGCGACTGATGATTTTCTCATTTCGGGTGTGACCGACTTGCTGCGACGTGAATAATTTTTTTTATTTCTTAGGCCAAGTTGTGATGGTTTGTCTAAGAAATTGGGGGGGGGAGGGGCTATGATATGGTCATAAGTAGCGATTCATGGAAGACCGGTTGTGATCCGAGTTTGGTCACATTTATACTGAATAGAAGCTAGGCAATGGGCTAGCTTGGCACGAGCACTTCGGTGGTATACCAAAGGTTGGTAAGCTAGGCAGATGGGAGATAGGCGAGGACTAACTAGGCGGTGAGTAGCTGGGCAGAGTACCAAAGGTTGATAAGCTAGGCGGATGAGAGCTAGGCGAGAACTAGCTAGGCGGAGTACCAATGGTAGCTAGTGAGGACTAGCTAAGCGGGGACTAGCTAGACGGGGACTACCTAGGCGGAGTACCAAAGGTTGATAAGCTACGCGGATGGGAGCTAGGCGATAACTAGCTAGGCAGAGTACCAAAGGTTGGTAAGCTAGGCGGATGGGAGCTAGGCGAGGACTAGCTAGGCGGGGACTAACTAGGCGAAGTATCAAAGGTTGGTAAGATAGGCAGATGGGAGCTAGGCGAAGACTAACTAGGCGGAATATCAAAGGTTGGTAAGCTAAGCGGATGGAAGCTAGGCGGAGTATTAAAGGTTGGTAAGTTAGACGGATGTGATCACCTAAGCGGCTCGCGCTTAGGCACCTAGGTAGCGTGACGCATAGGCACCTCGACACCTCGGCAGCTCGACTAGAGGGTCTTGTCGAGGGAACCAGAGCCTGGAGGTGGCTTTGTGACCAAGTCACAAGGAAGTTTGTAGCGATGAGGACTCTGAAGATCTGAAATATATGACCTGATTTACAGGTAGACGTGAGGAAGACCTATGGTCCGACAAGAACTCTTCGGCCTATACATGACCTCATCTATAAAAGGGCACAGATTCATTCATTTTACAAAACACACATATACGCGTTATTTCGTTACTATGCCGTTTTCTCTCCAGAATATCACTGACTTGAGCTTCGGGGTGTCCACGTTGGGACCACTCCGACGTGTTTTGCAGGTACCGACGATCGAGGGGTCGCAACCCGATTCGAGAGGAGCGGCTGAGCGGTTCGAAAATTTGTGGTATAACAATATCGAAACACATGCACACATTTATATGTTTATAAACAGTGTAAAATTATGATTACTAGCATTAAGAGAAAATATGAGGATAAATACATCAATCTGTTATCATCAATGTAATATGTGACAGTTCAGCAAGACTGACTGCAGATCAGAGATTACTCCAAAACCGTTTATCTTCACTTATACAAGCCCCTGTTTATGAATTTTACACTTTTTCTTTTTTAACAAACTGAGTGAATGCCAAGTAAAATTGTGGATACAATGACTTGCCACGGTTGAAAATGTACAACCCACATATTCTATTTGACTATGGATTTTTTAACCCTGGATTGCCTTTCTCAGAAAATTAAAAATTCGGGAAAATGACATGTCATGCCTGGCCACACTTGCTTAAACAAGCGACCCCCTCTTCCAAATAATCTTGTCTGCTAATCCAGAACTCAGGAGCATCCTGCAATTTATAAAATTATCAAGAACTTGCGAACATTTATGATACAATACTACTATTCAAAAATTATAACACCAAGTAAAGTAATGATCAGCATTGATAATAAGCATGCAGGTGCATAAACGTATGCCGTATGCTCTATCTCCTCCGTACAAAACCTAAACTCGAATTTAACTTTAACAGGTCACTTTCCATGTGTAGCCTGGGCCCACATGAACAAAGCTAGGGAAATGGGAAAATTTCAGGTCAACTTCTCTCTATGTGCGAATCGCCTTAAAAGAGTATCTTTAGTGCTTCAGTTTACGAGAATTGGTCAACTGTCTATACATGAGTGTGTGCTCTGGAAGGGAATAAAGGATGTGTACCTTCATAATTCCTGCCAGAACTGCACCTCCTAGATACACCATATGCTTTCTCCGTGGTGGATCCTCTATCCGCAGGCGTAATTTCTATGTCGAGTAGCGAAAAAAATAAAAAAATAAACTAATACATTCATTTTGTACCAGAAAACAAAAGAAGAATGTACGTTACAAGAAATGATATGACATCCTTTTGGGTGGGGTGGGAAAGGGTTTAGTGATAATTGACACGAGTAGTTCTAGTAGGGGACTGGAGCTCAAGGACGGTGAAATTGACTATGCAAGCTTGAGCCTAGAATATAGATATAATTTCAATTGTGCTTTAACAATAAGATATAGAGGGATGATTTAATTCTGTTACATTCCACTCACTCTATCTCACTCCTTTGAGGGTGTGTGTAAAAGAGTAAAGCTAACATACAATCCGTAAGTACTGAAGTACACATGGGTGGTGTAATTTTGCAGAAAGAACAAGTATATACCTTCAACCCATCCTTGTTTCCCTTCAGAACAACGTCAAGGTAACGATCTGATATTTCTTTCTCCAACCTGAGAAAATATAATCGGATTAAGCAAAGCTAAAGAGTTCAACACATAGAAAGAAAAAGAGAGCACTATCTTAAGAGGGATAACCAGAACAAACCGCATAGAATCAGTTGCATAAAAGTAACTAAGTTGTTTTGCCAAATCCTTCTCTATGGGAAGGACACTGACTTTATTTGTTCTTCATCTAATATATAATTTACCTTGATGCTATTGACGCACTTCATGATTGAAATTAACTATACGAGAACGTGTGTCATTTTTTTTTCCATATACGAGAAAAAGGTGTATTATGTATTACCGACTGGGTAATCCAGGATACATTGTACTCCCGCCACTCAAGACAATATGTTGGTAGAGCTGCAAAATAGAGGAATTTATCTGCGTAAGCAACTGCAGACAGTGACTGCCAGATAGAAAGATAATGCAGCTGAAAGGATCTATTAATACCATCATCCTATTGTCAATATCCATTTCCTGAATGCAACGAAATACCATATCTGCCATACCATCTCCCTCAACATCTATGAGCTCCTGCATGAATTATATCATCAGAATTTATGTACGGACAGTTGTGCAGCGTGGATGAAGCAGTAACTGAATGCAGAGTCAAAACAAGTACCCTCCAGAAAAGAAAAATAGCTGCTTAAAAAGGCCTTTTCATACTACACTGAACAATTTTCCAAAAGAAATAAGCTTCAAATATCATTGTTTATCCCAACTATAGGTAACAGAGGAAAAGATTTTCCCCGCCGATGTACTCAGAACAATTATCTAAAGAGGTAAAAACAGACATTTATTGGCTTCCAATGCCAGTCCATCACAGTTTTGCTTTGAAATGGCATAACATACTTACTGGGGTGAAAAGCGCTTCAGGTGCTTGAAATCGCTCATTGCCAACTTTTATGACTCTTCCATCTGGGAGCTATTTACGCAGCTATGTCAATATCGGCAATTTCACATTATTCTAGCTGTCCGGCAAAACTTAAAAGCTTCCAGAAATTCATCTTACAGTATAATTTTTAACAAGGATAGTAGTCTCAAGTCCCAGCTGATATTCCCGTTTGTAATCATAACTGTGGCAAACCGGACAATGTTAGAAAATGTATGTCACGTCAAGAGACGGGCCATTAAAGCAGGTGAGAACCAGTTTACCTAATGTAACAGAGCTTTTCTTTGATACTCCTCACAGTCTCAAAGTCAGCAGTTCTATTCATAGCATAGCTTTGGAGAGAAAGACAGGCCCATTCATGTGAAGGCACAAGGCAATCAGCTTTAGCTAACTTAATCCATTAACTGAACTCAGAAGTATCTAGATGACTTACCCCCTCCTCGTGAGCAAATCAACAAGATATGATGTTATATGGCGCCCAGCTACATTCATCCGCTTCGTAAGATGAGGGAATGAGTATCCATCAACCACTGGAACCTGGGAGACAAATTACAAAAATCAGAATGACCAATGATCATATCTCCCTGGTACAGCTGTGTAAATTACCAACATGACCTAGTGTATGCACATATCTCCAGATTAGATATTAAATAACAAACAGCATTTGAGGGTTGTTAAGAGTCCATGCAATTGTTCAATACTGTCACATTCCTTTCACTTTCTTTAAGAGTATGTACCCTACCTTGGTTCTTGTGGGTTCTTTTTATTACAGATTCTGGACAATAGTGTATGCAGTCATCTTGACAGATATAAGGAGCTGATTGGGTATCACAACGTGGCTAAAGCACATCACAAGCATAACATATTAAATATCTTACCACATGAGTAACTCCATCCCCGGAATCAATAACTAGCCCCGTAAGCAAACCTGAGTAAGTACAGGAATATCAAAAGTGCATCACTACCCTAGCCAACGTTAATATCAGGAATCTGAACAGAATTCTTAAAACTGTAAACTGTTGCCATTTTGACAAGAGTCAATTAATGGATCTCAGACCATTTTAACAGCAGTAAACAATCCTCTAGATGAAACTTAGAACTACACGTTTAAGTTTTAACATTTAACGGCATTCAACTCCATAAGTACCTTGAGCATACAAAGTTAAAACAGCTTGTATTTGGATAAAAACACCAGAAAAGTTGTACTTCTCAAACATAATTTCAACCTGAAATTTTGGTAAACAAAAAAAGGTTAGATTAAATCATATGTTCGTACTGAATTTCAAGAAGAGATGTAACAATCTAAAAGAAGCCACCTCACCATCTTTTCACGGTTCTTAGATGGATTCAAAGGCGGGTCAGTGAGCAAAATCTTACATTCTGTAGGATCTACCTTCAGACAAGATAAAGAAAATGAAAACTAAAGAACCTACAACTGAAACTTTATGGAGAATTATCAGGAATGGTGTGCGTGTGTGTGTGTGCGCATGAACATGTAGATTTATAAGAGGCATGGCAGAAGAACCTTTAGTTCGCTAAAAAAGGCATGATCCCACACGTGTCCCATATCATCCCAGTTTTGCACAATGCCATTGTTTACAGGATAAGATACGTCCAACTGATGCCGCCACTTTAAACAGGCATCCCCAACAAGAGTATCCTATGGAGAATAATAGCAAAGCACATAACATAAAAACAAGGTGGTCCAGTACAAAAGAACATTACCTTTCAAACATAAGAAGTGTAAGCAATATAACTTCCATACTACATATTTAATCCATAGGATTGAGAAGAAAGCTGAAGGTGATGAAAAAACTGCTCGAATATGAATGTAAATACAAATAATTCAAGGTTTAAGGCTTCAAATCCAAGATAGAGATACACTTGATGTTTCCAGCCATCAGAAAGGAAGCTCATTTAACCTTCTCCGATCTGACATGACTCTTCTTGCTCTTAACTGTAGTTTTCTGTACTAAACATGCACACTTCATTGTGGTTCCCATCTTCGTGTATTATCACAAATCAAGAAAAGCGTGCACACATTTACTCTTTTTCCCCCAAAATCTAAATGAAACTAACTAATAATTCTTCTATAATAAAAACCAAAACAAAAATTGAAGATTACAAAAGTGGATGAAAGAAAAGAACATAGGCTGACCGTGATCTCTTGTTCCATCAAAGATTCTTCATAGCGAAGCATTGGCCTCCCCACCACACAAGGGAACACCGATGTCGGGAAGTTCTCGCCCGCAAAACCGCACTTCACATACTGCATTCAGCAAACCAAGAGCAAATTTTGCATCAATTAACCCAAACAACTCATAATAAACATACAACATCCTCGGATTCAGAAACTCATTCATTCCCATAACCAACCTATAAAGGAAAAAAAAAGAGGGGGGTGGGGGGGGGGAGGGGGAGAGACAATCTAACGAATTCACCATGATTCTGCTATGATCGCTGAAAATAACTAACAAATTCAACTATTTCTACTCTGGGCATGAAGAATTCACAAGCAAGACCGAATGAACACATTGACGAGCTCCATGCATAAATCATAAAATCTGACAACCTATCAAACGATAAACTAAAACGAAGTAAGATAATTGTGCAGGTTGATGTGGATAGAACTTACGCCGGTTCCATTATCGCAGACGACGACGTTTCGGTTGTCCATGGTGGAGAGATCTATCGAGCAGTGAGATCTTGCAGGTAACAGCAGCAATGGATTCAAGCAGCGTGGCTTTGAATCAGAGCAAACTCGAATGAGAACACTTTGAGCTGATGACTGATGAGTGCTGACCCGCAACCGCAATGACGCCGTCCTGCTCCACCCATGAAATTATAAAGGCAAAATTGCATATAAATGCACCATTTTCATGTTTTTGCAATTTAATCACCATATTTGCAATTTAGCAATTTAATACACCACTTTAGTTATTTTTTGCAATTTGAATCACAGGGCCCAACTTCGGGCCTGTTCTGCTGACGTGGCGGCTCGTTCTGTTCTGCTGACATGGCGGCCCGTTCTGCTGATATGGCATTTTTTGCTCACATGACATTCTACGTGTCAATTACATGGCATTTTTGCATTGACATGGCGACCCATGTGTCAATTAAAAAAAAATATGTTGCACGCCCTATATGGGATTCGATCCTGGGTTTAAAGGGTTGAAGGGTAGCCTTTGCTACCCCACACCAATCCAATTTAGTTGTTAAATGTAATAATCTTTTATATATATACACATTACATATGAAGAAATCAAATTAAATCTAAAAATAATTTAATTATATTAAATCAAATTAAATCTAAAAGATAATTTAATTATATTAAATTAAATTATATAAAATTGAATTAAAAATAATATATTAAGATAATTAAAATATATTTTTTTGAATTCATATTTTGTGTTAGAGTGAATCGTATTAATAATATTATATTCATTTAATATTTTTATTTATTTATTTAAAATAAATTTTATAATAAATATAATAACTTATTATTATATAATAAATTATAATTTCATTTAAGATTTTTAATATTTTATTATTTTATATACAAATAACACTTTTTGTTTTATTATTCAATTACAATTATTTAACATATTATTTACTTAAATTATATTTTTTTAATTTATTATATTTATTTAAGATTTTTATTTATTTTTTTTCGGAACGATAGATATTCTATTAAAAGCACAAAAGTGCAAAAATTACAGACTACAAGATCCCAAAAGGATAATGATGGACCCCAACAGGGTAATCGTACAGGGGTCAACGGCCCAAACCAAAAACACACATAAACACCATAAAACAGAAGCTGAGAGGACACGCACATGGCGGCCTAAATAACTCAACAAACGACAACAAAGGCAAATGATGAACAGAGTCACTGCACACTGCCTAGCCTGTAATCATTACCAAAACTAAACCACACAGAATAGAAAACACAAACTACCAAAGGGAAGGACCTGAACAAACTAAACACAAAAACTAACAAAACTAAAGCAAACCTCCCCCGGAAATCCGATGAACCGAACCAGTAGCTACATCCGACTCTCGACCAGGCCCCTAGCAAAGACCCACCCCCGAAACTGCACGAGGCCTATACAAGAGGCATACCCCCACCCCCGAACTATTTATTTTTATTTATTATTTCATAATAAGATATATTTATTAAAATATAATAAAAATAATATAACATAAGATGATAAAGTATAAAAAAGGTGAATTCAAATAAAATAAAATAATAAACAAAATAACTTATTATGAAATAATAAATAATAAAAATCTTATTTAATAAATATTATTAATATGGTTCACTCTAACACAAAATATGAATTAATAAAATTCTATATTTTAATTATCTTAATTTATTTTATTTTTTATTTAATTTTATTTATTATAATTTTATATTTAATTAATTTAATATAATTTAATTAATTATTCTAAATTTAATATGATTTATTCATACGTAATTCTTATATATAAATTGTTATTGAATATGTTAACTAACATGGATAGGTGAGTTGGTAGCATAGCTATCTTTTTCCTTTGGAGGCCAGGGTTCGAATCCTCCTACTGGGAACACCACGTCACCACAAAAATGCCACATCACCAGAACAGGCACGAAATTGGGCCCTGTGATTCGAATTGCAATAAATAACTAAATTGGTGTATTAAATTGCTAAATTGCAAAGGTGGTGATTAAATTGCAAAAACATGAAAGGTGGTGCTTTTATATGCAATTTTGCCAATTATAAATAATCATAATTAATCAATTTTTATTACAATTGGGGAGAGTCTTGTGAGAGAATGGTTTATCGTATATAATTACATTGTTAAGCATATTTTTTAATAGGGTAAAATTTGTAATAGAAATGAAGTAAATAGTTATAGAGTTGGTTATGAGTGTGATTGGATATGAATTGGACAAAAAAATTATGGAGTGATCGAATGGTATTCTTATGGCCATCGATCAGTTAATGTATTGACACTTGTCCAAAGTGTATTTATTGTAAGGCATGTGTTAATACATTATTGTGAATAACTATTGATGGCTCCATAAGCCGAGCCATTCGATGGCTCCGTAGCAAAACTGGTGAATTGGATTAAAGAACAAAACATATATCTCTAACTCAATCATTTTTTTAACAAACTTTAACTCAATCTCACTATTATCAATATTATCAAAATAATTAAACAATCAATAAATCATTATACAAATTACATTAAATTTAATTCACTATTTATCCACCCACATAATTTTAATTAATCACAATTTCACGTCATTTATCTTTTACTTTTACATCAAATCAATTTTAGTTATTATATTTTAAATATTAGTTTAATATAAACTAAAATGTCACAAACAACTCGCCATACTGAAAACCACCTAGACAAAATTGTAGAAGTACAATAAAAAAAGCTCTATTTCTCTGTCGATAAGAAAGCGCCCAAATCGCTTCCAATCCCCTTGTCTCTATCGTCGCCGGTTTGAGCCTTCCTCAGTTGTCATCGAGGTTGTCGGTGGACGACCCCTCGCTCCTCCTCCATGGTTCTAACTGTGGTGCACTCATCCGTCATCTCAAGCCTAATGGGGCGGGCTAGGGTTTCGGCAGCTCCTTTGTTATGTGTGATGGCCGTCGGCGTTCCGCGGTGTTGGGGCTCGGTGGGGTGTGGTGCCAGTAAGTGGAAGGGGCCTTGGTCGCTCACGTCGGCTCAGGTCGGGGCGACTCTTATCACCGGGCTCGGAGGTCACACTCGTCTCGTTTCTCCTTTTCCTGTCGAGGTTGTTTCACGATCTCCGCTTGCTGGGGGGTATTAGGCTGAGGTTCGTCCTTGCGGTTGGGTTGGAAGTGGTTGTCTATCCGGTCTGTGTCGGCACGGCTGGGCTTGACGCCATTCGTTCCCCTTCCTACTTTGTTCTTTGTTCTCCGGTTCCGAGTATGAGAGAGGCTGACCGTTACGGGAATTGGCTAGTGGTGTTAGGCAGTTTCGAGACGATTCAGGATTTGGCTAGTGGTGTTAGCTGGTTGGGGGCGATTGTGGTTTATTGCGGTCAGAGAGCGGGTCGTCTTTTGGTTTGTTTCGAAGATGGGGTCTTCGTCTTTGCTAGGCTTTAGGTAGTGGCGGGCGCGGTTCATGTGCTTTGGATCTGTCCTCGGAGTCGGCCTTGTCTGTTGATCACTTCGGATGTCTGCTGAGGGATGGTTGTGTTTTTAGTTTGTAGTTGAGTTTGTTTTTAAGTGTGTTTTTAGGTGTGTTTTTGCTTTGTGTGTTTAGTCTTGTATTTTATTTAGGTTGTTGGCTCTGTTATGCTCGAGTGTGAGTAGGTATTGGCCCCGTTTGGAAGATAGCGGATTGAAGATAAAATTAGCGGATTGGACTTAATTGAGAGGTTTGACCCGTCAAATCCGCTATTGAGCCTGTTTGGTAAATAGCTTATTTGATAAGATTTTTGGGCCCAAAACTCTAATTTAGAAAAAACTCATTAGAGAAACTTTTGGGGGATAGAGGATTCCCAATCTACTATTTTAATTTGGAACTTTTTAATTTGTATTATTTATTTTACAATCTACATTAGTTTATGGTGCTAACAAATAATAATACGTCATCCATATAATTAATTTATCTAGAAAAATATAAAATTCATAACTTTTTAATCAAGTGTTAGTAAATTTTAACAAAAATAATATATTTATAAATTACCAACTAAAGAATATTAAATGTTTTAATATATTATTTATTAGAAGAATACACCCTAAATAATAAAATATTTTTATTGGTAATTTGCAATGTCAAACAGCTATAAGCTTTCAGCTATTTACCAAACACTTATTTAAAAACTGCTAATGCAATCCGCTGGTCAAAATCAGCTAATATAATCCGCTATCTGCTGATCGTCAAAGCCATTACTTTCTTGGGATCAGTTACTTTCAAGTACAAGCAAGCCCATTTAACATAATGCTGGCCAAGACAACTAACCCAATAAGATTTTAGCCCAGTCAAACATAAAACCCTAGTTCCTAACCTCTACCCTTGGCAAGTGAAAGCATATTATTTAGGGTCTCGTAAGCCGTTCTCAGGCTCAACACTCAATCCCTCACATCTGCAAGGAAATGGTAATACCCTGTCTCAATTATCTTCTCATGGCGGCGCGCGTTATGGCCAGTTTTCCTAATTCTTTTAATGTGATTGGGGCACCATTTTACAGGCTCCGAAGAAGGTCGTTAGGGCGCCGGCGGCCGCCAAGAAGAAGGCGGAGAAGGTTGTGAATCCTCTGTTCGAGAAAAGGCCGAAGCAGTTCGGCATTGGAGGCGCCTTGCCGCCGAAGAAAGATCTCCACAGGTTTGTGAAATGGCCGCAGGTTGTGAGGATCCAGAGGAAGAAGATGATCCTGAAGCAGCGTTTGAAGGTGCCCCCGACAATTCATCAGTTCTCTAAAACCCTCGACAAGAATTTGGGTTCGTATATATTCTATTCATGTTTCGATCTTTTAGATTTAGTCACTGCCAGTGATGAATTTTTGGATTGGGTATATCATAATTCATAGTTGAATAATCATGATGTTCTGAATCTGCATTTTGCTGCTGTGTATTATAGTAGTGTTAGATTACGTTGTCACTTAGTTGATGCTTGTATGTTGTGTGTATCAGTTGTTATGTTTAGTCTGTATTTGTATGATCACATCTGATGGATAAAAATTATAGTACTTGTTGATATTTTTCACCTCAATCAGGTAACGTTTAAGCTAAGCATGAAATTACCAGTACTGTGCTGGGATTGTTAGGTATCATTTTTTTTTTTCTGGATATATTTGCATGAAGTGATGCATTGACAGTTGAGTTACTTAGCGACTGAGAATAGAAATTAGTCAAGGCATCGATATGTATATAGTTTGATTATGCTTTATTCGACAATATATCTTGATGTGAGGAAGCTCATTTCAGAGCCATGCTGTCCAATTGATGTTTGGGTGATGTTTATTTGACGATCAATAGCCTTATGATTTAATGCAGTAACTGTTTTATAACCTATACTAACTTTAGATATCAACTAACACAACGTACAGCGACCAGCCTTTTCAAGATGCTACTCAAGTATAGGCCTGAGGACAGGGCTCAGAAGAAAGAGCGTCTCTTGAAAAGAGCTCAAGCTGAAGCTGAAGGAAAAACCCCAGAATTGAAGAAGCCTATTGTGGTGAAGTATGGCCTTAACCATGTCACTTATCTCATTGAGCAGGTTGAATTTCATATTCCTCATGTAAAACTTCTGCAAATTTTAGGCTGGGTGCTATTAAGATTAAACTATGTTTCTTTTTGCAGAACAAAGCTCAGTTGGTGGTTATTGCCCATGATGTTGATCCAATCGAGTTGGTCGTCTGGCTCCCAGCTCTGTGCAGAAAGATGGAGATCCCATACTGTATTGTGAAGGGCAAAGCTAGGCTGGGCACTGTAAGTTGCTATACTTTTGTTGCTTCACAAGTTTTCTTATAACAATTGTTTGGATTAAGAACTAAATATCATTTCAAATTCAGATGTTTTTCACAACCACCCCTCTATATTCTAACTGTGGTGCACTCATCCGTCATCTCAAGCCTAATGGGGCGGGCTAGGGTTTCGGCAGCTCCTTTGTTATGTGTGAT